ATTTTCTCCACCAATGCTTGCAATGCTTTCAATGTTTCCATGTTACCCTGAATACTGTATCTACATGCAGCAGGTTCTCTCTGTCTCTCTCTCTTGCACACACACACATGCACACTGGTTTTCCCAAGTGTCTTCAGAGCTGAAGCTCCTGGATATCCCCAACTCTATCCTTCTCTTTCCATTTTAGGCACCCTTGGCAGTATATCCATTTGTTCCCTGGGGCAATATGAGGGAAGACATGCAGTGCAGTGGAGAAAACATGCAGTGTAGTGCAAAAATCACTGGAATGCAGATTCCTGAGTTATAATTCTAGGGTCAATATTTACCAGTTGGTGAAAAGCTATCCAAAATCTCTGTACTTAATTTTTTCAGCAAAAAAAATGTAGATTAATACTACCTACCTTCATTCTTTCAAAAAGTATTTATTGGCCGGGCGCGGTGGCTCACGCCTGTAATCCTAGCACTCTGGGAGGCCGAGGCGGGTGGATTGCTCAAGGTCAGGAGTTCAAAACCAGCCTGAGCGAGACCCCGTCTCTACCATAAAAATAGAAAGAAATTAATTGGCCAACTAATATATATATATATAAAAATCAGCCGGGCATGGTGGCTTGTGCCTGTAGTCCCAGCTACTTGGGAGGCTGAGGCAGGAGGATGGCTTGAGCCCAGGAGTTTGAGGTTGCTGTGAGCTAGGCTGACGCCACGGCACTCACTCTAGCCTAGGCAAGAAAGCTAGACTCTGTCTCAAAAAAAAAAAAAAAAAAGTATTTATTGAGTGTATAAGGTGTCCCAGGGACTGTTCCAGGTGCTGGAGACAGCAGTGAACAAAGCCAAAGTTACTTTGTAGTGTCTTTACCAAGACTAAATAACAAAATGGCTACAAAGTACTTGGAATGGTTGCAGACATAGGAAATATGCTTGGAAATGTATTTGTTTAGGAAATGTTTATTGAATATCTATAATGCTCTAGTCAGGGTTGTAGGCATTGGGGAATAGTATTCAGTGAGAGAAGAGGCAGGAGATCAGAAAATAAAGGAGCAAAATATATGAGCCAGTTATTTTTAGTTAGTGATATGTGTGCATGATTCACATAAATAAGTAAAAGCAAACAAAAAGGACTTTGGAGATCAATGGGAAAGTTTTATTTCAGAAACTTAAATCAAGCCAGCTAACTGAACATTAATGCTAGAAGTGAAAAGGAAACAAAAATTAATGCTAGGATTAAAGAGATAACTAAGCAAATCAGTATATGGCAATCGGAACCAACCAGAATACAATCCTGAGAGACAGGAGACTTTGACGCCAGGTGGCTAATGGGCAGTAAGAAGGTTGTACCCATTATTTTTCTCACTGGTAAAAGGAGAAAACAATAATCTCACTGCCCTCATGATACTTGGGCTTCATATACCTTCAGTGTTCCATGATGAATAATATTCAAGCTATTTTCTGAGAAATCATTTGTAATTCTTTGATTCTAGTCCTACTTTTTCCCCATCTGAGAAATTCTTACACTCTTCTCCAGAAGAATGATCTAGAATTGTAGAATCCCAAAAGGGAAGAAAGCACACTGGTCGTATCACTTAACTTCCTCCTCAGAGCATGACGTGCAGCCTCAGCATGCAGCTGTGAGAAAAGGAAGTATACGTGAGAAGATCAAAATGCTAGTTCCTTCTCTGAGCCATTAACTATGTGTTGATTTCCAGAGTCACATGTCCTCATTTGATTTGGTTTCCTCATTTACAAGTTAAGAACGGTAATCCCATCTCTCCTAGTTATTGTGGGGATTAAACAAAATGGTATATGGGAAAGCTCTTTGGAAGCTCAAAATACTCTAGAAGTAAAATAAATGATTAAATCTAGGTGCATGGATCAAAGCTACTCCCTTGGAAAAGTGGAAAGTACCATGTACCGATGTATACGCCCACCATGGGCTATAATATTTTTAATAGCTTAATTGAGATATCAGTGACACATAAAACATATATATTTAAGGCATACAATTTGATATTTTAACATCTGTATACATTCTGTTAAATTAAATTAAATTAAGCTGCATCTGTAATGGTGAACTGTAACCTAACCTAATGTGTAAATAATATGTTAAAAAACTAAACAAAACTGCAACCAAACGTGAGAGTGTATTCTTGTAACAAGTAATTGAGTCTTGTCCAATCATGGCAGCCAAACTTTCAGTCACTCACAGTCTACAAACTGCTCAAACCTGTTGAAATAAGGTCAATACAAAGCTTTAACCAGTCAGCCTATTTCTGTATGTCACTTCCTCTTCCTGTCTACAAATACTGTCTGTCCATTGTTATTGGGTAGATCTCTCTAGACATTTACTGGTTCACGGTCTGCCCAATTCATGAATTGTTTCTTTGCTCAAATAACCTCTGCTAAATTAAATTCATCTACAGTTTTTCTTTTAACAGTTATGAAATGATCACCATAATCAGGTTCATTAAAATATTCATTACCTCTACATAGTTACTATTTTGTGCATGCATGTGTTTGTGTGTGGTGAGAAGATTTGAGATCTTTCTAGCAAATTATAAGTATATAATAGAGTATTGTTAACTATCCTCACTATACTATACTTTATAGATCTCCAGAATTAATTCATCTTACATGACTGAAACTTGTATCCTTTGACCAACATTTCATTTAATCCTTTCCCCTAGCTCCTGGCAACCACAGTCTACTCTCGACTTCCATGAATTTGACTGTTTTAGATTCCCACATAAATGAGATCATGTACTACCCACGATGGGCTTATTTTGAGGCCTTGAGTAAATCATCATTTCCCTATGCTCTATTATTCTGAGTTAGTCTTGCTATGAACGATTCTTTCTAGGCAACAAATTGCAAAGCATTCAAGGATTCAAAGGTTCTTTTCGCAGAAGAAACTGGTGGAAGTTGTAATAGGCAAATAATATCTGGATCAACTGATGTTTAGACAAAAGATTTGTATAGCTCCAGATAACCCTAACTTTTGAAAGTTATACTACCTGGTTTCTGTGATTTAAAATAAAAACAAAAATAGAAATGGAAAACAGCTTCTTGTCTTTAAGTTTATAAGAATGTTAGCACTTGAAAATTTTAAGATACAGATAAACAAAATAAAACTGTTCAAGTGTTTAAAGAGAGCTTAGAAATTTGAAGAATGCAAAATTAGATATTGCACCATGATTGATATAACCATTTTTTCTGCCATCCTCATAGCTTCCCTCCTATCCATTATTTGTGTAAATTTTTATCCTAATTTAATAAGTTATCCCCTTATTTGTTATCAAAGCAAGTTATTATGTTATTGTAAGCTGTTTGGGGTCAACATGAAGCATAATAAGATAAAGATGGGTTAGTGCTATCTCCAAGGTGCCAGCCTAGAGTGAGAGGCAGAAGCCTATTCTCTTTGGGGCTCTTATTACAATGGGGTGTAGGAGAGGGAAGCATTAATCTTGGCAAATGGGAGGGACCAGAGAAAGGAGACATGATCTCTGCATTCTGCCATCTCTCCAACTCATTGAAAATAGAACACACAAAGAGACAGACCTTTTTTATAATTAGAATTCTTATATGTGCTGGGAGGAAATGTTCTCTAAGCTAGCTAGTGCACAAGGAGTGGCAGTGGGGTCTGACCCAGTTCTCTTGTCTTTGCTCACACAATTTGGGAGGTGTGAGAAGACTCCCCTGAGAAAGCGACCTTTGAATTGAGATCTGAGTGGAAATAACTAGGCACTGGGCAGGGGTGAGGTGAGGAGAGGGTTAAGAGCTTTCCACACAGAGGAAACTGTGTGAGCAGAGACTTGGGCAGGAAAAGGCTTTGCATGTTGGAGAAACTGAAAGCATCTGAGCAAGGCTAAAGTATAGAGCCAATGAACCAGGGTGCTGGGACAAGCTCAAAGGTAGACCAGGGCAAAATTGTGCGTAATCTTGTGGGCTGTGCCAGTGATTTTGTTCTCTATCCTAAGAATGCTACTTTGGGAGATCAGGCAAAACCTTAGGGTGGTGGCAAAGGGGGAAATATGGAGATGAGGTAAAAGAAGCCAAATAGAGAGGGTTTGGGTGAAAGGAGTGAGGGAGAGGGAGGTGTCAGCTTGCTGCCCAGGTTCCCACTCTGCAAAGAGGGGGCTTTCTTGAGGGTGCTCTAAGGCTCTGAACCACTGTTTCTGTCACTTTTTCTTATTTTTGGTGTGAGAAGAGGGGAGCTGGCTGTCCAGGTACACAGACACACACTGATATCTTACCTTCGTTCTTGAAAACGGAGGCTGGCATTTGGAGAGCGAATGAATGAGGAGCCAGAGGAGAAGGTGAGCAGGCCGAGCAGGAGGGGGAGAAGAGGAAGAGTAGGATCCAGGGATACACCTGCCAGAAAAGAGTCAGAGAAGACAGAGAAGAGGCCAGGGAAGGGAGAGCAAGGACTAAGACACAGGATAAACGTGAGACCGGGAACACTGAGATGGAAGAATCTTGGGATGCCAGTGTTGTAAAGAATCTTAACCAACATAGTCCATTCCTCTCAATGTATAACAGAGAAAACGTTCATGCTTTTACTTTGTTATAAATGTGATATCTTCACTTGTAGAAATTTTAAAGACATGAAAGTGTCAAGGAAATGAAAATCAGACATAGTCCAGGCCTGGTGGGTCATGGCTATAATCCTAGCACTCTGGGAGGCAGAGGCGGGCAGATCGCTGCAGGTCAGGAGTTTGAGACCAGCCTGAGCAAGAGTGAGACTTAATTGGCCAACTAAAAATGTATAGAAAAAATTAGCAGGCGCAGTGGTGTGTGCCTGTAGTGGCAGCTACTTGGGAGGCTGAGGCAGGAAGATTGCTTGAGGCCAGGAGTTTGAGGTTGCTGTGAGCTAGGCACTTTAGCCAGGGCAACAGAGCAAGACTCTGTCTCAAAAAAAAAAAAAAAAAGAAAACGAAAAAAAAAAAAAAACACCAAACAAAACCAAAACCACACATTGTCTTTCCACCTAGAGATATGCACTGCTAAAGCAAAGACTTTCCTGATTTTGCTTTCCTCTTTGCATTTTTAACACAGTGGGTCGGAGTTATAACACAGACACAACTTTCTGCCCTGCTTTTTCAACTTCCCCCCAGCCTTCTCACAGCTGGAAGAGCTAACATCGGAGACCCTGTGCAGAAGCAGCCAGCCGCCGGCCACCAGGAGTGAGAGCGTCGCCTGCGTGTGGGCTTGGGGACCGGCCGCACCCTCGCCAAAGGAGGCCGGAGAGGAGCGCGGGGGGGGGTCGGAGCTCCACGGGGTTCCCCCTCGGCGCCATGAGGTCGCTGCTGCTTCTGCCGCTCTGGGCGCTCCTCCAGGCTTGGGGCAGCTCTGAAGGTGATTGGAACGAGGGCCCTGGGCACCGCCGGGAGGGTCGAGAGAGGGAGCCCAGCCAGAGAGCCCGGGGCTCCCCGCTCGGGACCCGGGGAGGGGGAGCGCGCGGCTGGAGCTCGCAGACGCCACCCGTCCTACCAGGCTCACCTGCTGTTGTCGTTGCTTTCGCCCTTCCTTCTCCCTTTGCTGCCTGCTCTCCTGGCCACTCGGCACGCGCCTCCAATCTTCCTTCTCTCCCAGTCCCGCAAAGGCTTTTCCCCTTCCGCTGCCTGCAGATCTCGTCCTTCGCCAACAGCAGCTGGACGCGCACGGACGGCTTGGCGCGGCTGGGCGAGCTGCAGACCCACGCGTGGAGCAATGGCTCGGCCACCGTCCGCTTCCTGAAGCCCTGGTCCTGGGGCAAATTCAGCAACCGACAGTGGGACATGCTTCAGCATATCTTGCGAGTTTACCGAACCAGCTTCACCAGGGACGTACAGGAATTCGTGAAAATGCTGCGCTTAGCCTGTGAGCTCAGGGATGGGAGCCTGGGCGGGATCCAAGGGGAGAGAACGGGCGCAGGAAGCCCAGCTGGGAGGTGGCGGCCCCACCTGAAAGGATTCTCTGTCCTGTCCACCCCCTTCTGATTTCCACTTCTGCCTGGAGATGTCCCAGTCTCTGACTTCCCACAATGTCCCTTATTCCTGCCTGCTCCAGGTCACCCGTCACCCACTCTCACTTCCCTGGATTCCGGGGTCTCCGTTATAACCCTCACACCAATTTCCTCTCTTTCATCCTGTGCAGTCTTTTGAACGCTTCTCTGATCTCTGCCGGTTCCTCTCCACAGATCCCGTGGAGCTCCAACTGTCTGCAGGCTGTGAGGTGCGCCCTGGGAACGCCTCGGAAAACTTCTTGCACATAGCCCACGAAGGAAACCATATCCTGAGTTTCCAAGGAACTTCTTGGGAGCCAGCCCCGAAGGCCCCAGTTTGGATAAATGAGGTCATCAGTGTGCTCAACTATGACCAAGGCACAAGGGAAACGGTGCAGTGGCTTCTGAATGACACCTGCCCCCAGCTTGTCACTGGCCTCCTTGAGGCAGGGAAGTCAGAGCTGGAGAAGCAAGGTCAGCCTGCCTTCCTCACCCCAGGCCCGCACTGCAGGGTTCTCATGCCTAGAGCATCTCAGGAAGGGCATCTGAGCATCCCTGGAGGGGCTGGATAAGGTGTGAGGGCATTTATCATTTCATAGATGTCAACTGAGCACTTATTGGGTTCCATGAATTGAATTAGGTAAACACTGGGGGTCAAAGCTGAGTTGGGTAGGCAGCATCCCTGCTTGAGGGTGAGCATGGGAAGATAGATTAACAAAGCAATGTTTGGAACTTGCCACCTGTTGCAGCTGAAGTAGGAGTGCAGAGGAGGGCCGTTTATAGGAGGCTGGGATCAGAGAAGGGGAATGAGGACCAGGGAAGGTTCTGGAGAAGGTGACTCAAATGGGTTGAAGTTATTAGACTGCATGTTGGGCTGTGAGCCCGATCTGAGGCCTGTAACCTCTAGTGCAGAGTCTTCACTCTACGATGCCCCATCCCTGTTGGGTACAGTGAAGCCCGAGGCCTGGCTGTCCAGTGGCCCCAGTCCCGGGCCTGGCCGTCTGCTGCTGGTGTGTCACGTCTCAGGATTCTACCCAAAGCCCGTGTGGGTGAGGTGGATGCGGGGAGAGCAGGAGCAGCCAGACACTCTGCACAGTGACCTCCTGCCCAATGCTGACGAGACGTGGTATCTCCGAGCGACCCTGGATGTAATGGCCGAGAAGGCAGCTGGCCTGTCCTGTCGGGTGACGCACAGCAGTCTAGAGGGCCAGGACATCATCCTCCACTGGGGTGAGAAAGGGCTGGGGCCTGGCTGGACATGGGAGGAGGAGGTCCTCAGGCAGAGAGGCAGGCACTGGGGAAGGATGGGCTGGATGCACCCAGCATAGAGGAGTTTCAGAGAGGGGAGGGATAGGAGTAGGGGATTCCAGATACAGGGAAGAGGGAAATAAAGACCTGAACTCAAAAGGGATTGAGATATAATATTCTGTATACAAGAAGAAACAAGACTAGAAAACTCAGAGATCCAGAAGTAGGTGGCAAATAAGAAATCCCAGGAAGATTTGTTCCCCAGCAGAGGGGTCCAGGGACTTTGGACAGTCAGGTTGACAAAGAGAGGTGTGGTTTGCTGAGTGCTTCCTGTTCTGGATCTGCTGACTCTGCATAGAGCATTTCATCTCATCCTCAGAACTCTCCTTTGAAGCAAGTACTGCTGTTCTCGTTTTGTAGGTCAGGAAATTGAGACTGAGAAAGGGTCACTGTCCGCTGTCATGCAGAAAGTAGAAGAGCTGATTTTAGACTCAGGCCTGTCCTCCCCCTGTACGCTCTACTAGCAAATGCTGAAGCAAACTTACTTAGGGATGCCTGGACCTTAAGAAAAGATCGGGAATCTACACTTGCGAGGGATAGAAATAGGTGCTCTCAATGAAGGAGGAAGTAAGAAGTACTTGGTTCCGTCACATGAGCTTGGACAAGGGGATTTGACATGGGGAGGGTCCCTGTGCTGAGAGACATCCTGTGTTCCCCCAACGCAGGTGGGAGTGGCACCTCCCTGGGCTTGATCATCCTGGCAGTGCTGGTGTGCCTGGTGTCCCTCCTTGCGCTCATTGTAGCCTGGAGGCTCTGGCTCAGGAGGTACTGGTAAGTCTCCCCTTTCTGTGTCCTTTCCTCAGCCTCTCTCCCCTCCATTCCTGGCTCCTCTTTTCCTTAATGGTCTCTCCCTTTCTGTCGATGACAGCTCCTATCAAGACATCCTGTGACTCCCATCACTACACCTGCTCTCCTGATCTCAGAACCTCAAGTCCTAGGACTTCATTCTGGTCTTCTGGGGCATCAAGGATAAAAGGAGAGGAACCCTGAAGAAGTAGAGAACAGTCGTAAGGAAACTCTCATCATACCCTTTTAACATTTGTCTAAAAGAATTTTAGGATTATTTCATTATTACTACAAGTTCAGGTGCCGAGATGGTTCTGTATAAACAGGAGGGCAGGCTCAGATACAAACCAGGGACAAGCGGACAAGCACTGGGGCATCAGTGCACGTGGTGGAATCTGCACTGAACTGGAAACCACCTGTCCTGTCCAAAGGAAGCAGGTACAGGTGCGTGTCGTCAAGTAGAAAGTCAGGCTCTGGCTTGGCTGTAACCCACACTTACCAAGAAAACTGGACATCTGGTTTTCTGTGTGAACTTTCCTGACTTTAATACATTGACTCAAGATTTGAGAAAATAACTGTGTGAGACACCCCAAATACATACCTGCTGGCTGATGACAACCCAAGAACTACCAGTTTGTGTCTCTTTTTAAAAAGGTTTGCCCTGAATGACATATTGGCAGCTTTTAGGCATAGTTTCTATTGTGAATTTGGGTTTACAACTGAAGAAGGACATTTTCTTCTTAAAAGAAAATTCATTTGTAAGAAACAGAGGTGTCTCAAGCTTTTACTTGGTGTAATTATATTAAAAGAAGATACTATATATGTATTTTTCTGAAAAAAGCTAACCTGAGTATGAATATTTCTCCCAAGTGGTCAGTCACCCTTTTTAGTTGGAGGAAAATGTTTATTAAGGTATCTCTTTTCCCCCTTCCAAAAAGGACTACAAACACAGAAGCAGTCTCTCCTACTTACAGTTCTCGAAAAAGACAATGGGCCCAGTGTGGTGGCTCACCCTTGTAATCCCAGCACTTTGGGAGGCCAAGGCAAGAGGACTGCTTGAGACCAGGAGTTTGAGACCAGCCTGGGCAACATAGCAAGACTCTAAAACAAACAGCTGGCTGTGGTCGTGTGTGCCTGTTGTTCCAGCTACTGGGGAGGCTGAGGTAGGAAGATCGCTTGAGCCCAGGAAGTTGAGGTTACAGTGAGCTATCATCATGCCACTGCACTCCAGCCCGGGGAATAGAGCAAGATCCTGTCTCTTTGGGGAAAAAAAAAAAAGAGACAATGTATAGGAAAGGGCTGAGACACAGTGGCCGGCATGTGCTATCGTAATGATGGTGACGATAGCCCAGCTCTATGCTTTGTTCTTGGCTTAAAGAGGACAAAGGAGGAAACTTTTATGAACAGCAGACTATTCTGATGTCAAAGAATAAGAAGGCCAATTTAAACTCGTCTGTCTGCCCAGCTGGGAAGTCATGTATTGCAGTCAGGGCCTCTGGAGATCCAGAAAAAGTGAGATTTAACTGTTGGAAAGTCTGTGTTTGAAAAAGTTAACGTTTGGCATTGTCTATCCTAGACTCACAGGCCTGAACCTAGGACAGTGGTGAAGATCCCACTAGCTTCTAAATTAGTGGTTCCCAATTGCAGTCCCCTGACCAGCGGCCTCAGCAGCACCTGGGAACTTGGTAGAAATGCAAATTAGGGGCCTCACCCCAGAACACGGCCTGGTCATCAAGCCCTCTGGTGATATGGGTGCTCAGGCAAAGTTAGAGAATCACTGTTCCCAGGCATTGTGTAAGGTTATGCAAGGAATTCTTCAGTGTGCTAAGTGAAAAGGAGATTGGCCTGGGGTTATTCATGGAAGGCTTCCTGGAAGAAGAGGAATTTGAAGCATGGCTTTGAAAAAGGGAGGTAATGAGATGGAGCAGCAGGTACACTGGATCAGGAGACTGGCGTTCTAGCTTCCAACTCAGTTTCTTCCTGTGCCAAACGGGGGTGATAATGTCTGTTTCGATGATCTCGCAGAGTCGCTGTGGGATAAAGTGTGTGGCAAGCTGCAGTGCCTTCAAAAATGTGCAGCCCATTACTGTTTTGGGTACCACACTGCCCTCAAGTGATGCCAGTCAGCTTCGCTTTTTCAAGCCGCGTTGGGTTTGTGCACCTTCCCCGTTGACCTCTGTTCTTAGAGCCTGTGTTCACGTGTCCCTGCCCATGTTTGTGTGAAAATGCTTCTGCATGAATTGTCAGTAGCTCTGATTCACCTTGACGCAGCTTTATTTTGGAAATAAAGTCTTACCTCTCTGGGAAAGTCTGTCTTCTTCCTTCAAATACCCAGTTCAAAACACCTCAGAAAATCCTGAGAATTCATTTTATTTATTTATTTATTAACGGCTAATTGATCTAGTGCATTTATTTTTCATTTCAGCATATTATGGGGGTACAAACGTTAAGGTTGAGAATTCATTTTGGAACACGTGAATACTCCCTTTGTGCATATCATGTTCCTTACTGAGTGCTGTGCTGATTGCCCCTTCATTGCTACTCTGCTCCAAATTCATCCTTCGTTATAAGGATCAGTGATAACGAACAGCATTCCTTTAATATTTCTCCTTGAAAGTTGGCACAGTGTTCAGCTTTTTCAGTAAAGCGCCCTGGAGGGACACAGTCAGGAGGAGGGGACACTCCCTCAGCTTTCAGCACATCCCGTGTGGTGCTGCCCTGTGCCCAGAGCCCGTGGACACCCTGGTCTATGCTTATTCTTATTTTCCCCATATATGTAAGGTGTTCTTTTCCCCTGGTTGCTTTTAAGATTTTCTTTTTATCACTATTGTTTAGCAATTTGATCTCAGTGTGCTCCTGTGTGTCTCTGTGGATGTGTGTGTGTCTGTGTGTGTGTGTGATACTTAGGGCTTGTTAAGCTTCTTGAGTTTGGAACACCACTTGCAGATATGTTAGACCACTGGACATTTTACACAGTTACCTGAGACCCTCTTAACTTCGATCTGTTTCCTCAGTTGAGTGAGATCGCCATGCTCTGCTTGGGTTCTCCCTCCCTGTGATGTGATTTGACAATTGCCTCCATGTGGAAAGGCAGGGAACAATTATAGGCTTACATGGATTATTTTCCTGCTCTCAGGATCACAGTCCTCCCTGGCCGTTTGTTCTCAATGTCTGAAAACATTTGCTTCATATATTTTGATATTTTTGCTGTAGGAAATGTTCCTTGCCAGTTAATCTTTCATGCCTAGAAAGAAAAGTTCCATTCATCACCTTTTAATTGTGTATTTCAGTTATTCATTTACATCTATTTTTAAAATCTCATCTTGCACCGTAAACCCACTGTGGACACTTTTATATTTGTGGATTCAGTGTCAAGCACTCTGAAATCCTGCTGTCCCCCAGGAGATGAGGGAATTGATTGATTCCTAAAATGTTTGGTGAATGAAAGTGACAGCAAGAGTGCATCTCTGTATTTCATTTTCTAGCCTTGCTTACTACTCGGAACAATAACGTGTCTCTTTTATCAAACCAGATTGGGTGCTGCTAATACTTCTTACCTTTAGTGGCTTGTTTGCCGACCATTGGGTAAACATTTGCAATGTTCTTGATCTGCTTGGCAGAAATGAAAACACACTAGGAGCATTGTTTATGACAAGATATTTTAGTGGTTAGAGAGCTGAGGGTAGTGGTAGGGTAGTGGAGTAGGAGACATAAAGATGAACAACAATTAAACAGCTCAGTATTGCTGTATGGATACACATTCTGCACAGATCAATAAGTAAAGGGCATTAAATCAAAACAGAAAGTCAAGTAGCTTTTACCAAAAACCTGTTCCCCGCAGAGCTAAAAATAATCCCATTTGCAGATGAAAAGAAGAGGCAGAAAAGAATAAGGCAAACAAAGAAAAACAAAGCAAAGGGGACTTCAGAGCAAAGAAGCTGCTAAAGGACTGATGGAATCTCATAAAAATCGTGTGTTTAAAAAAATATTTAAATAAACGTATTTTGGAAAAAAACTGAATTTTCTCTCTTTAGTTTCTCTGTAGCAGTTGATAATTTTAGTAATACAATGGATTCCTGGACTCGAGACTGGGTCACCTGAAGCTCTTGGGTCCCCTTTTACCTTTCTCTGTCCTTGCGGAGAAAATAAATACGAGCACTTTTGCTTTCTGCCAGTGGGAAAGGAGGCAAGTGAGGGCCTCAGTGATGACTGTTCATAATTCTCATGTATTTCTTAGTTAAGTGGACTTTGGAGACTGACCATTAACCAAATGAACCATAGGAATTTATGATTTTCATTTTGTTTGGTTTGGATAGATCATAACCCCTAGCACTGAAGCAATGCATTTTGAGATAATCGCTGTGATTATATGGGAAAATTTATTTGAAGCCTTGAGATGTTCTTAGAATTTAATGCTGACTTCTGAAATTTCTGTGGGCTATAATAAGCTCAGTTTACAAGACGACTGCACAATGATTTATAGCCCACAAGAGGACATACAGTAGTTGGCAGATGAGAGAAACAGAGGGTAAAAGCAGCCTTGTTAGAATTTTCTGAGATCAAATTGTTAGTTCCAGAAAAATAACTAAAAACGGGGGAAGGTGGAAAGTTACATCTATGGCTTGTATCTCAGACTCTACATTTCAACAATAGCAGCAACAGTACCAACAGCAACATCAGCTTCTTGGTGAGAGAAGGGCACTGGCCTGGAGAAATTTCAGCTCAAACATGTGATTCTGATTCACAGTAGACAGTTTTTGGTAGTTTCAAAATGGCACGTTTTGCACTGCGTTACATACTTTGAAAAGACTCAAGCTCATAAAGGAGAGGCAGGAAGTGGAGTTGGTTTCCCACCACCATGATCAAGGGAAACCCGACAAGAGTTGTTGTAATTTTGGTGGTTTAATCCTAGGCCAGGTGAGCCAGTTCAGAAATGTGACAGTTAAAATAGCCTATTGACTTTGCAGTCTTTGTGGAGTCAGGTAAAAGCACCCTTCCACGGGCCTGGAGAGCCAGCTGCTAAGGCAAAGGGACCTGCATGTCCCCACACATGGGCAAGCCATAGATAAACTTGGCCCTCTTCATGGTGATATGACTGTATATCTAGAAAACTCCAACTCTATTTGAAAAATCAAAGAAATACTAGAATTTATAAGGGAATTTCATCAGATAGAAAAGATAAACATATGAAAATCAAAGGTATTTTTCCTTTTAGCAATAACCAAGTAGAAATGCAAATGGAAATAAATAGTCCATTCAGAAAGCGACAAAAATTTAAAACACTTTAGGAATACATTTCACAAGAATGGTATAGAGTCATATGAAGAAAACTACAGAGTCATTTGAAAGACAATAAACATGTAGCGGATTAATTGAGACACAATCTATTCTTGGTTTAGAATATTTTATATAATTAAATTTATAAATTAAATACAATTCTAAGTTGTATTAAAATGGCCCCCAAATATGAAAAAAATATAATAGTAGGGGTGAGAGATCTGTCATACTAGATATTGAAACCCAGAGCTGATATCATCAAAATATCATGGTATTAAAATAGAAATTTGTAAATAGAAGAGGAGTAGAATAGAAAGCTAAGAAATAGATCTCAGTAAATATGGAAATTATGCATTGGATGTTATTTCATATGACTGCAAAGAATAATTAATGAATGGATTGGCTATCCATCTAGGAAAAAAAGTTTCCTTTTTCTGTTGGAATTTCACTCCTCTGTTGCCCTGGGTAGAGTGCAGTGGTGTCATTGTAGTTCACTGCAACCTCCAACTCCAGGGCTCAAGTGATCGTCCTGCCTCAGCCTCCTGAGAAGCTGGGACTACAGGTACATGACACCACGGTGCCTGGTTAATTTTTCTATTTTAGCAGAGATGGGCTCTCATGCTTGCTTAGGCTGGTCTCGAACTCCTGAGTTCAAGCGATTCTCCCACCTCTGCCTCCCAGAGTGATAGGATTACAGGTGTGAGCCACCTTGCCCAGCCTAGGAAAAAGAAGTAATTGGAACTCTGCCTCATAAGATAACTATAAATAAATTCTAGTATTAAAGACATGGAGGTTTTGAACTTTTTATAAAACCAAAATAGGAATTTAGAAACTATAAAATAAAATGTACATATATTAAAAAAAAAAGGTCTTTATGGCAATAGATGGCTTAAACCAACTGTAGATTGGGAAGATATCTATATTACAAATG